ATATTAAAAAATACCAACACACGCCCACACACACCGAATCGCCAGATTCTTGCCAATACACACCTATCATTGCGCTTTTGTGTTTTTTTGACACTGTCATTTAGCCTCCACCCACAGAATCTTATATTGTGCAAATAACAAGTCTGACTGGCTAAATATACTTAATAGGGGTGTAATGGTATATGTATTTATTATATGTATATATTGTATCCTCATTTTAATCCAGGTCGCAGTAATGAACCTAAACGCTGCCTTTTATTTTGTATTAGACCCAGCCTGGAGTAACATCATTATTTATTTTGTAATATTTTCAAAAGATTTTCATTTTTGTTATTATTTGAAATATTTTGTTTGACTTGTGCCAGTATAGAAATATTGCTAATGTGAGAGTATGTTCACTGTTTACATTGTTCTGTGTAATACAACATTGTTAGTTACAAATGTTAGTTTCTTATAATGAAGTTATCAAAGTTGCCAGTTGCTTCCTGACTACCTCAGTTTATTTTGTATGAACAAAATTAATGAATGGTATGATAACCCTTCTAATGCTAATCCTAATTTTTTATGTTTTATTCATTTTTTTTTCTTTTAACAGGTTTTTAGTTTTGTGGTAAGTTAATGTCTGTACAAAATAAATGAACAAAAGGTAGTCTTTTACATGTGTGAGTTTTTGTTTCTTTCTTTCCCCATTGTACTGAATCCGTACCGAAAACGTACCGAACCGTGACCCCCATACTGAGATAAGTACCGAACTGTGACTTGTGTGTACCGTTACACATGCCTTCTCACAAAGCTACAATTTCACAACTGCATTGTTCAAATTAAGTTTTGGTTAAGGTTAAGGATATACAACAGATAGTATCCTCTAATCTTCACTACAATATATCAATATAGATATATACCTCACTAAATCGATATAGATATATTTACCCCCAATCCTCCCACCACAACAACCTCTGAACAAAACTGCCAAATGCTGGGTCTATTATCCACAAGTAACTGTTTGTTTCCAGAAGCCTCCTAGACAATAGCCAAAAGAAAACAACTTTCTTTTACCACTGACACATTGTCAACCGTGCAATCAGCGGTGACAATAAGTGTCTAGTATGCTTTTCTCACCATATCATTGCCGTCAAAGTTTATTGCCCAACATAAAGGTGCCTTTAGTTTTCCAGTTTGGCTACTGGCCCTTCAGAAGAGAATTAGTGATATTATAAAAATGCAGGTCAACATGTTATAGTAATATAATCAAATATTAAGACAAAAAACAGCATATTAAAAATTCAACTGTGGGAACGGAGGCCTAACAGTTATGTTTATTGTCTGTTGTGCAGTAGATCGCTGGTTTTAATCCACCCTAACTCCCAACCTGGGGGTTATCATCAGAATGAGCATCCCACATAATAACTGTGCCAAATCACTGTGCGGATTACTGCTGTGGCAATCTCTGATTATGGGTCAAGTTATAGGTAATTCTTCTTTTTCTCGTGTTAAATATTTTACCAAATATCACAGCACAGCATACTACACCAAACACTGGCAGCTCATAAATGTAGCTATCCACTCAATCACTCTTTGGATTTCTACAAACTAATTCAAGCATTGTCATTTGGTTCGTTGTTTTTGTTATGACACTATGGTAAACACTAAATACCTGCATAATGACACAAGGTTGTAGCAGGCTATGATTGTCTGACATACATCACAGATATGTGCATAACGTACCATGTCTAGCTAACGATCCCTTGTCATTATTCAATTAGTGGTTATGTTCACTATTAATCTCTTGCCTAATCTGTAGCACTAATACCCAGATGTCGCTGTTCAGAGACAAAACCATTCTTAAAAACTCACCTATGTGTGTCTCGGTTTGTCCGTGTGGACCAGGGACTGGCAAGCTGACCTGTCTGTCCGGTTGAGGAATACACTTTAGGCAGAACGAGTGGAGGCAGGGCAGAAGTTTGGGTTCACAGTCTCGGTTTTGGAGACTTTGTTTACACACTGCGCAGGTATCCAGTAAATTAATGGGAGTGGATACCGGCGTGGCCCCAGGAACGGTAGGCGGTGGAGACATTTCAGCAGTAGCTCCAGCCTCCCCTGCAGCATCCCGGGCCGTCACAGCTTCGACTTCCATCGGCTCCGTGCTGGACGTGTTAGCCTCCACCGGGCTGACAGCGATGCTAACGCTGCCGTTTGCTTCCCCTCCTGCTTTAGCAACAGCAGCCGCCGCCGCCGCGCCAACGTTAGCGTCTCTTTCGTTGTTGGTGGGTGTCGGAGCCTCGTTAGTGTTTTCATGAGACTCCATTTCTTCATCGACCTTCGTGCTGGCCTCTAGAAGTGATAGTACATTCTCCCCCTTTGCATCTGGCCTCTCGTTATCCTGCGTTAAAGGTACTGAGTCCCAATTGGCGGACGGTTTCAAATCTTCCTCGTCTTTGTTGTCCGCCATCTTCCTTCCTCTTTGAACCGATGCACGTCTTGCGTACTTTCCCTGCCAGGCGTACGTAGGGCTACGTCGTGACGTCAGACAAAAAGCTGCCCTATTTGACTTTTGTGCGCCTATTTTGCTTTGTGGCATGTGGAAACACAGGATTTTAATTAAATTTTTGAATTTCAAAACTAGAAGAAATTACCCCTTGAACTACAATACATATATTAATTAAAACTGGGTATTCACGTGTTGTGAATGTTCACTGTACAACAGTATTTTGTATGCCAACTGTCTGCCAAAAGCCACAGAAATGTGTTTTTGTTTGATGAAATATATACTACAACACAGTTAGTGTACATAAAAGCCAAACTAATATAAACTTTCGTCTAAAATCCTTACAAATGTGGAAGAACAAAGGATTATAGGTTTCCAGTTCCATTCAACCATTTCGCATAACCATTTTTTTCCTTTTTTCTTTTGATGATAAATTTTAATGAATTTGTCATGCATAGAAATTTAAGAAACATTGCCCAAAACTTCAAATGCAATTATAGCTGTTATTTAAAATATCAAGTATCTTTGTTGCATTTTGTTAATCTAAGAGGAAGTTTACTTTAAAAAAGTAAAATTTAAAGAGAGTGTGTTGATTGTGTGCAAGAGAATCAGAAACGTGGGCTATATAACTTATAGTATTATGGCTTAAAGTTAATTGTTTACTAGGAAGTGTCTGCAAGTTCTTGGTCATGTGGTCATAAATTGTAATAGTTTACATCTTAGGAAATGTGTGTTCCTCTTGACTAGGTTGGAATCCAGGTAATGGATTTTGGTGACCATAAAAAGGGGACTTACTAATCTAGAGGAAGTTTGGAAGGTTAATGATTGTGTCCTTTGGTTGAACTGAAATTTAACGACGGTTTATGATGTAACCATGTAAAACCATATAAAAGAGAGCCTACTAAACAGGGGGTCAGTCGTCTCTAACAACTGTATTAGACAGGGGTTAGGAGCAGCTCTCTTGGCCAAGATATTTAGAATAAATCCATCAAAGAGCACTTCTGTTGGCTCTAATTTTTCTAAATTATGTAACAATTTCTATGACAAACTTTATTTATTTACTACAAAATACCCCCCCCCCAAAAAAAAAACAACTGGTATGAGCATTTATTGTTTTTTCTGTAACATTGGAATGTTTTGCCGTAATGTTTCAGCCCAAAGACTTGAAAGAACTGAGTAACGCTAAGTATTCAAGCTTACATTTTGCACTGTGGGACCGAGAGGACTGCAATTTCATTGTGCCATATGTCCTGTATGTATGGCATTTTTGACAATAAAGTTGACTTTGACTTTGACTATTGACTAAGACTGTGTTTTTTCTTTCGACTTAATATAATTCCTGAGGTCAATATGAACAACAACGCATTTTTGATAATGATAATTTGATAAGTTTGACCTCATGTTTTAATTGGCATTTACATACATATGAGTATAATACACAAAAACATTTTTTTACTTACTGGAGATTATTACTGAATGTAACGTATTTCTGACAATACTTAAGTAAAATACTTTTAAATGCATCATTTGATCACAGGTTTCCTGTTGGAACAGAAATTTGTATTACAGTGTAAAAAGCTACGTTTAATTGAAAAGACTGCTGACAGAGACCAAAAAAGTATCCAGTCAGAGCAGCATGAATTAGTCTAATGAAAGCTGAATGGAGGAGAGGGAGAGTTGACAGGCCAACAGTCAATAAGAAGCCTTGGTATCCAAGCACTGGAGGCTTTGCTGAGTCTGTCCTGAGATTTGTCCATATTGTCAACAGTGATGTACACGAGTCCTGACGGAACCATGAATTTAAAGCTCGGGCACCAGAGAAACCCTTTTAACAAAATCATAGTAAGAAGTATAATTTGTCCATTAAACAGTGTGAGGAGATTATGGAGCCTTCAGGTATACATGATCTTGTCCCCTGAAATTCGTTTTATTAATTAGCTAAATTAGCTCAGAATTACATTTAAAAATATCCAACACATAGCAAAAAAAATCCAACAATAGTTGAACTTAATGAAATATAGCCTTTTGCAAATATTACTAAGACGTTAGCCCAGAAATAGATATTTAGTGAGATGGATTAAAATATTAGAAATTTATCTAATAAATAAATAACAGCCATTTAAAAATAAGCAAATCATTTTGGACCACTAGCTAAGCTAGCCAGTTGAAACAGTGGCATTTATTTTACCTCCATTTTTAGATTAAAAATATCAATATTTACCAACAATTCATCACACGTTTATATTCAACATTGTATCTGCAATGTTTAAATAAATTGTTTAAGTTAGAATCTCTGAATTATATAATTAAACTTAGAATTGCCTTTAATCCCCTCCAAATCTGTATTTTCACGTACGCGTGAATTTGTACATTAGTTCTGACTTTAATCACAGATTAGAAGATTAGAACGTTTATTGAAAATCTATACGTCCCTCGTTCTTTTGACTAATGAATGAAATCGAATAAAATCAGTAGTAATTAAACTCCACTCCACTAGATGTCAGAACATACACGACTTCAGCTCTTTTTTTCGAAGGTCACGTTGTCCGGAACCGGAAATTGTTTGTGTCGTATGCGTTGTGGCGTTTCAATGAAAGAACGTTTCAGTGGTCTCTCTTCAAAGACTTAACTATAAACATGGCAGGAACGGCCTCGGTAGCGGGTGATGTTTTTGTTGACGCGCTACCATATTTTGACCAAGGTTACGATGCAACTGGAGTCCGAGAAGCGGTGAGTTTAGTAGGAAAACCTGGAATCAGATCAGGCTTAGCTCACGTTACCGAGCTACTCTTAGAATTATGGCAAAATTCCTTATTCGTTCTTGACTCGTTTCTACTGTAGGCAGCAGCGCTGGTTGAAGAAGAAACCAGACGATACAGACCAACCAAGAATTACCTGAGCTACCTGCCTACACCTGACTTCTCTGCTTTTGAGGTAACCCCAACATATATGTAACATCTCTTAAGGTTTTGACAATTATAAGCAAAATAGCAAGAATGTCTTCGTTTTTAAACTTCAGACTGACATCATGAGGAATGAATTTGAACGCCTTGCAACCCGGCAGCCCATGGATCTCCTCAGCATGAAGAGGTAAGCCTTAAAATGTCGGCAAATCTTAAATAGCCTTTAGTTCTAAGTCGGCAAATCTTAAATAGCCTTTAGTTTATAATAACTAACTATATACTAATAACTATATTAGTATATAATATTTGTATTGAATGCCAATAGCGACAGTTTACGTAATAACAATACATCACAGATAAATGTGTGACAATATTTTCCATTCATGTGGAATAAGATGCTTTTGTATAAAATCATTAAGTTTTCTCTCACTCTAAATGTTGATCATTCGTTTTCCTCCGTGTTTAGATATGAGCTTCCTGCACCTTCAGCAGGGCAGAAGAACGACATCACAGCTTGGCAGGAGTGTGTCAACAACTCGATGGCCCAGCTGGAGCACCAGGCGGTTCGTATTGAGAATCTGGATCTGATGTCACAATATGGAACCAATGCATGGAAAGTATACAATGAGTAAGTGATGGCAGTCTGTAAATGCAGATGATTTCAAAGAAAAAGTCTCAATATGTCTGACATTTTACATAATACCTTTGCTGTAGTAACCTGGCCTTCATGATTGAGATGGCACAGAAAGAACTCCAGAAATTCAGGTGAGAAATGACTTGTACTTTTTATGATACATTTTTGTGTTGGTTTTCACACACAAGTAGCGTGAAACCTTCTCGGCACACAGGAAGCAAATTCAGGACATCAACTGGCAACGGAAGAACGACCAGTTGGCAGGAGGAGGAAAACTGCGAGAGCTGGAGTCCAAGTATGTTGACCGTTTATGGCAGGATACATTAAAACTGTTTCAAGTATTGTATCAATTTGACCTAACATCCTGATCTGCCCTTCAACAGCTGGGTGTCTCTGGTTAGTAAGAACTATGAGATTGAGCGAGCCATCGTGCAGCTGGAGAATGAGGTCACTCAGCTCAGACAGCAGCAGGGAGAGGAGAACAAGGAGAATATCAGACAGGACTTTTAAAAAAACAACTTTGAACGTTGCTCTGCAAAACTCAGGATCCTTTAGTCACACAAGTGTCACACGTTTATCCGACTTCACTTAACTGAGATGTGGTCAAGTTGCCTGTGTGTTGGAGATATAATGTGAAATACCATAACCCATTAGTTTGTCTTTCAGAACGTTTGAGTAGCTGTTCTCTGATTTTACCACATATTTGTTCCACTGTACAAACAGTGTTTCTTCTAAAATCTCTAAAATCATTCAAACTTTTTTTTTAGTTTGTTCACCTATTGACTGTGGTAACTTCAGGCCTAAGATTGTAATTTGTTTTACATTTTCTTATTGTGTCTTATTGTGTATTCCATTCAATGAAGTTGTGTCGGGTGAAAACAGTGAAGATCTTGTTTAGCAGAAGCAGGATAATCTGATAAGAGTAATCTCTAGTCAAACTGCTGTAAAACTAAGTCCACTAAAGGTTTTCCCCTAATTTCCTTTTCACAATGTAAATACGTCATAGTCTGTGGAGGAATGATTAAGTTCATTGTACATCAACTGGGAATTGTTTTTATAAAATAAACTTTTGTACATTTTTTTGTGTTTAATTTGTTTGTTACCTCCAAATAAGCATGAAAAAAACTCTATACTTGGGCCGTCAAATGAACGAGTTAATTATGCTACCTAATTGGTGAAGATTAATCTGATTACCTCAGTCAGTGGGATAACTAATGTTTCTGCATTTTTGTCAACATTCACCTTGGAATAAAGAATAGAATGGAAAATTAACAACATTCATTTTAAAGAGTTAATTGAAAGTTGTTATCAGAGCTTTAATGAAGCTCCAGGTCTTAGGGAGAACAACGCAAGCACTTGTCTATACGAGAACGCCCGTTACATTTATTTTATGTTGGATACTTTTGTGTGTGTGTACAAAAATATGTGGGGGCCAGTTCTCCACTTGTGAGGTTATCAGGTCTAACAGAAACTCAGAAACAGGGAGTATGTCCAAACAATTGTCAAGGTCTTCCAGGAACCAGAGAACAGATAATGAGTAGCATCTCCCATCAATGGGAGGCACACATGAGGTCAGGCTGGTCAGTTCAGTGTTTTTCCACTGACTACATGAGTTACAGTACAAGTCAAATGGCACAGAATAGAATTTAGGTATAACACTAGTCACAGGTTTGGACATGGAAGGTACAATATATTCACTAAAGGCTTGGTCTGTGCAAACAAGAAGTCACTGTACCAAGACCTTTCTCCAAGTACGACTGATGTGAAATTAGATGCAACTTTGAATGTGATGCAAATTCCCTGTAATTAGATGCTAATTTCTTTTTTATTTGATGCACATGTGTATGTACAATTACATGTGAATTTAAATGTTTAATTAGATGCTAATGATCCCAGTGTGTCATTTCATGCAAATATTTTAGGAAATGATGTGCACATTGTGTGTTATTACATTCAAATTACACTATCTAAACAGATACTAGTTTGTGTGTTCAATTAGACGCACAGTTCAGATACATGAAATAAAAAAAATGCACTTCATGTGATTGTGATTTAACACCCCATTAGAATGAAACTAACACTTTCAGTAAATTGTATCTGGCTCTACTGTACTGTGAAGGTGAATGTTTGTCTTTGGCTGTGGTCCTATGTTGGACTGGTGAACTGTCCAGGTTGTAACGCCACCCACTCCAGGCCCATAACCCTTTAAGGCAGTGGGAAAACCCCTGGCCCGGGGATTACTTTCCACCAAACTTCTTGGCATGTGACTAAATGCCAAAAATATTTTGCTCTTAAAAACATTTAATTATTTAATTTGTTTGTAATTTAAAAAAAAAAAGATCATGCTTAAGTTGGACATTTAAGAATAAGAGTACTACTGATTGCTACTATTTGCACAATAATCTCACACAATATTTATATTCAGTTGGCCGAAAAGATTAAACAAAAAATGTGCAAAGGTAACTAAAGTATAGCTGACAAAAAAAGATAAACTATAGTCATGTTTTAAAACGTTTTTCTCTAGGAGAGAAAACTCAATTTTGTCTCTAAAATTCTCAACTTTAGTCAGAAATAAAGACAAATTTGATAATGATGCTGCAAAGAATTGCAACTGGATCTTTAAACTGTTTTAAGTAGACTGAAAATACAAATGTGTGAATCAACCAGAGAAGCACAATCAAACATCTGATTGAAATAGTAACAGAGAGTCAAACAGTAAAATGTGTGCCACCTATTAACAAAGACAGAAGCTGGAGTTATTTAAACATCAGAACAGAAACGTGCCTCTCACAGGTCACCATGGTCCTGTCAATAGTAACAGAATATGTTACACAATGAAGGCAAACAATGACACATGAACCCTGGTTCTTGTTCATCAGAATAAACAGCCTTTAATTAAATGCCTTGTAATTGTTATGCAGTGTTTTTGTTGTGTTTTTTTTAAAAATCACTCATCGTGGTATTTGATTTAAACCTTGGCACACTTAACACAAGGTGTAAAATTTAGCATAATCTAGCACTGCTAGTATAATAAACATTCACGTTAAACAAACAAAAGAAATCAGATTGAGGCATTTTGTTTACCCAAAAGGAAAAACTGATTATTTTTGTCCATTTTGGTTACTTTTAACCAAATATTTTTCTTCAAAAAGTGCACCTAGACACCTCCTCTCAGAGGATCTCTGACTTTACCTTCTTCTCTTAAACAGTTTAATTTCTGATGGCATAGACACTCACGTAACTCTGCAAAAAACTCAAGACAAAAATCTGGTTTTGTTTGGCAGAAGTCTGCAAAGCATTCAGAAAGCGAAGCATGGCAGTGACACCACAGCGCGGGTTGATAAGCATGAAAATCAGCCATTTAATTATTGAACTGAACAACATTTAGCGCAGCATCCTGCAGCATTAGCTTCAGCTGAGATGGTAGTCACTCAGTACTTGAAATTCAACCAGCTGTATGGTTGAAGTAGCATAACATTGTCAAAACCCTAACCAATCTAAACCTTTTAAATGGTAATATTTTAAAAACATCTACGAGAGAAAGGTGGATAAACAAAAGAAACAATACACTAAGGTATAAAATACACAACCTGATGGACATGTACAGTAAATGATTTATTGGATTTATACTGACACAATCCTCTGACAGTGTGCATAACAATTATTCAAAGGCTGCAGCTCCTTCCTCACTTCCATCTACAAATAAGATTAGGTGAACAAAAACAACCGTTCTCTAATGAACGTTGTTGAAAATATCCACTGCAGCTGTATGACATCATGTACATGGTAGTTGTTGTTGGGTAAAGTCAGATGTCCAGCACAGACCAGCTCTTGGAAGTTTCTAAATACTGTATGTTTACCAATACCGAGCAGGCATTGAAGTGCTAACAACAACACTATTAAAAGTCACACGCTGTCACTGTCACTCTCTCTTTCTCTCTCTCTTTCTTTCACACATACACACTCAGACTCCACACACACAGTTTCCAGGCACCGTTTTACTCTTTTTTGCAAAAAACTATAGGCTTATCTTTAGGACCAGTCATCCATTGTGACTGAATTCAATCTGACTATGTGCAAAACCGTGGACAGCATCAGCCACCAGCAGCTAAAGATACAGCAGGCAATCTTTTTGGCCATGCTCCAGTCTATATACTCAGTGTGTTCAGAGCTCGTACTAAAGTGACGTCCTCCGTCAGGTTCTGGTTCTGGTCCTGGTTTCCTTTGCTCTGGATGAACTTCTGCCGATGCCTCTCCTCCTGACGCTTCTTTTTCTCTAGCCTCTGCTGCTCCTTCCTCTGCTTGTTGGATACCTGCAGGTGATGTAAGCATAAAACCTGTTTTAAAGGTACTTTCCAATGAGAACTAGATTAGAAAAACTAGATGGACTGCACTTTGTTTTAAAGATATGTTGTGGATTGAATAGCAACCAGCCTTGCAATTTGGTAAATGAAATGGTCCTCCATTAACTTCACCTTAGCTTTTTGAATGTTGCTGCCCTCTGATGACTCCTTTTGCTCACTGCAGTTTGAGGTCGCAGCTCTGCAGGCTAAGCAGGATTCAGAGGGACACTGGCCCTGGCAGGCCTGACCCAGGATGGAGCCAACAAGCCACTCAGCATTGATGGTTGCTGCACTCAGCTGAAGCAGGTTCTCTTCATCTCCTAGGACAGAAAACATACAGTTCAATCCAACTAACGCAAACCTAAACGCAAACGTAAACCTCTCAATAGGCTTTCAAATATAAAGCCTGTGAAATCTTGAAACAAGTTTCTCATTTTTGTTTTGCTGGGACAGTCCAGATCATGAGCACTGACCCTGGATACCTCGATTCTTCAGAGAGCTCAGGATCACACTGTCCTCCTCCGAGGCTGTGGGAGAAGGGGTTTTCTGTCTGTCCATCTGACCGTCTCCAAACTCACGCTGCTGGCTTCTTGGGTTCTGCAAATTCTGTCAACATCACCAGAAACATATTTGGCTTCATAACTAGCTTTTGATAAATTTGTGTCACATGGCTAATTAAAAAAAGTGAGCTTTACTGCTTAACAGAACATAATGTCATAAAAACTCTATGCAGGTCACTGACAGAATAATGATCTGGGGGGAAAATTAGCTACCTGTGATTAACATCATGTGGCCTACTCTGTACAAGCATCTGCCCACAAAGGCTTCTTTTTGTAAGGCTTTACAATGCACTTGATTTAAAGTGTAGCAGTTGCAAACCTCTATACGGAGCTGAGCAGGACTCTCTGAGTTGTCTCCGACCCGCCTCACACTGTCATAATGATCACCGTAGCGATAGGCAATGTGAAGCTCTCTGCACACTTGCTTCTCTACACCATTTATCTACGTGAAAAACACAAAATAATGACTATGTTCTGCTCTCACTGAGCAATAGTTCATGAAAATGTGTTATCATCTTAAAGCTTTTCATTAGTCCGTACCTCCCACAGTGGTGTGTTCAGCTGATGAATGACCACCTTCACCTGTTGACTGCGAGCAAATGCTACAATAGCATCATTGCCAGCAAAGGTACCAGGCTGTGAGAGGTTTGACACTAGAGCAAGCAAAAAAGAGGGATTTTATCATTGATGGAACAAATGTTATTCACACACCTTTTATTGTGCATGTCATTATGGCAAATAAGTCCACAAGAAATGTAGGGAATAGTACATACACTGAAAAGGAGATAAATCCAGACATTCAATATTATGTATCACAATAGTATTTTTAAATTTTTAACTTATTCTGCAAAGTACGTTGGATTCCTTTATTTCTTACCGTCAATTCTGACTGCAATCAGAAATGATGACCACCAGGGGTCAGTACATAATTTCTATTCTTATCAACTGCTGCGTGGTCAAACCTGGTCAGCGTGAGTTAAAATTAAATAAAGGTATGATTTGTATGCCCAATTGATTTTTCTTATTTAGTGTTAAATCTGTTTTATTAATCCTTCTCTTACAGTGCTGTGTGAAAGGCACGTCGTCCTCGACAAAGGGTTCAAAGTCTTGTCGATGAGACGTCATGAACTGCACAGTCTCATGGCGAAGCCGCAGGTGACCTCGAGAGTGACCTTCTAACTGGTCACCCAAAGCTCTGAACAGGCAGTTTCTGTATGAGGAGAAAACGCAAACAAATCAAGCTGCATCTGGCATCAGATGCAATAAAAAATATGTTTGTCTTATTCATTGCTTATTTAGGGTTAGGAAAACACATGTTAAATGCCTTTTCCTTTCTGTAGTAAGGAAAATATTGTCTTTACTACACAGCAGCCAAGCAGTTATAAATATGCTGCATAGTCTGGTTAATAATACATGTGAGGCAGAGGAGACATGAACATAGGATCATATACAGGATGATATATAACCATCCTGTTTACTGCAATTAATGAAGAATTGCTGTCAGCTGAAACAGATATTTCTGCAAATCTTGTTAAATTAATAGTGAAGTAATATTAGAGACAATTCACATATAACTAAATGCCACATGATTTTTTTTCTCCCTCTTACCCATCTCCTGGGACTTCCCTGAGCTTTAGCCCCAGGGCTTGCAGCTGATTGGAGAAACTTACAAACTCTGCTCCATCATCACCATCCTGGGGGCGGTTCTTACGGTCTTTAGCGATGGCCCGTCGGGCTGCCCGCTCATCTCTCTTGCGTTCCATATCAATCTTTTTGTTACTCCGCACAGGTTTTGTGGTCTGTTTCCTGGACATAATGGCTGAAGCTGTTCCTGCTCACCTGCAACACCATCATATCAGCATGAATTGATCCTTGCACAAGTGCAAGTATTGCTGTACTTATGATTAATATCTTATGTGTTTTTGCAATGACTGATGGATACCATGTATTCAACATCTTTGGTCAGGAATGGCTAAATAAAGACTGATATTAATACAAAACAACTTTTTTAAATACATATGTTCTCAACTTTACTGGTGATCTGTTATTAAAATAAATGAAGAATTGTTATAAAAGCCTCTTCCTTTTCTTTCTCTGTCACACTTCCATTGAAGACTCAGTCTCTTTTGGACGATGCTGCGGACCTTCATTCTTCTACCTTACAAATTTTCCAACCTCTCTCTCTCTAGGCTCACACTAGCTACGCTGTGGCAGAAACAAGCACAAATAATGTTAAAGTTGGATAATGTAACCACACAAAATCAGATACAACACAGCATAATATATTATTGAGAATATGTAAGTTTTTATTTTTCTAGGTGAAAATCAAATTAATTTTCTAACGTTTCCCTAAATATTAAATGTGCTATTTATTTGTTCTTGGTGTGCACACATAAAATACAGATGCTTTATTTTAACACATCACCATTGTACAGTTGCCTTAATGTCTATTTGTTGTGTATTGGTGACAAGTGGCAGGTCTTTCTTTGAACTATATCCAATTCATTATGATCAAATGTGATAAATAATATACTACGGTTTGCTGTGTCTTCCTTCCCAGGTAACATTTAAAGCACAATATCAAATGTTAAGTTTTATTTAATTCATAACAAAACATCTCGACTTCTTTTAAATGAACAACAACACTAACACTTTAATAGCATTAATTCATACGTATACAAATGTGGTTGGCTTCACGTTTATAACAGGCTAGCTGGCTAACTAGCCTGTGCGGCTTGATATTGCCTAATAAGTAGTATGTTGTCGCAAACAGCAACAACAAGTAAAACACAATGACAAATATTAACTTAATAACTTCTTTGTTTACCTTTAAATGCTGTGTCCGACGAGTGACGTCTCTATTTCGTTTCTAGTCTATTGCTGAGTCGTAATATAGTGTCGGAATTGTTTACAAGTGTACTTCCGTGTACGTCACGTACGTGCGTCCATTTGTACGGTCAGCGAAATGAGGCAAACTTAAGCAGTTCCCTTGGGATTATTATCTGGTAGTTTCATAGACCATTAGACTGATAGAAATGTAACGTTTTACCAACACGCATCAACATAGGTTCCACAGAAACAATGACTTGTTTTACAGTATTTATTTACGTCCTACCTTTACTTAGCACCTATCTATCTATCTATCTATCTATCTATCTATCTATCTATCTATCTATCTATCTATCTATCTATCTAATCTATTCAAGACCTGTCAAACTATTTTTCTCTATTAATTGTATCTATGAGATAATTTTTAGACTCTGGGATGACTAGGGCAGCTCTGAGTCATTTTTGTATTCCAGACAGTGACTCAGGCGAAAGTAGGAGGCAACAGTAAAAACTTTCGAAAAAAAATTTCACATCTAAAAATTCCTTCACCACCATCTCCTTCCCCAATTCACACACTACCAGTTCCTTCAGATGGCTTCATGCAGTTGGTGTGTGCGATGTGTAAAGGACCAGCAGATGCACTGAGACAAAGCAACGGAAAATAAAGAAAACAACGCCCAGAAACGTTCAACTGCATCAGAAAACAAGAGTAAGCAGTAAGAGTTTTTCACAGAACTAAAGAATAATAATATAATAAAAAAATATATAAGCACACATCTGCAGATATAGGTTGCCATGTGGTTTATTACTGAAGTCAGTGAGCGATGGCATTATATGTGAGCAGATGCAATGGCCTGAAGGTTATCGTGCATGTGCAGCCATCAGCATCAGTCACCTGAGTGGAATAGAGTAATCAGTGAAGCGTGGATAGCATATCACACAGTACATGTACAATATGTTTGTGTGTGTCCTTAAGGTCAATGAGGTTCAGTGTTACTTGGAATGGTTATGGCTGGTTGTTGTTTCCAGGAGACTAGGCACAGTTATATAGCACGCTGCTAAATGGTTATGTTGCAGAAAGTGTTTTAGTCTTTGGAGCCAATGATGGAATGAATAGTTATGTAGAAGACAGGTTATTTACACTGAGATTACAATGTTAGATTTATATTTGGAGTTCTTTTCTAAAAGAAATACAGGCATTTTAGTCTCACCAACAACCTAAGATGTTGTTAACACTCCAAATAGTCATCTTGGCTAAGACACAGTTGTTGAGTTGTCTCTGGTAAACATTTTTTTCATTCAGTGTTTCTTGTTTACACAGCAGTTTATACTATTTTATTGAATGTATAAGGTCTGAGAGATTACACAATTAGAATTAGTTTTACTTCATTGATCTTCAGGGGGAAAGTCTTTCAAAGAGAGACCATTCAGCAAATGGGACCTTTACTGCATTCATCAATAAAATTAACCCTGCAGTAATATGTGGAAACATTTTTAAAGATTTTTGTCATTTGGCCCTTCTAGCCCTTGCATATAAATAATATTATTGATATATAGATATGCTAGATTTTCTGGTACTTGACCCAAATACAAAATTCCATTGTTTACATGAAACAGGGTGGTTTAAGTACATTTTGCATTTCTAGAAAGGTTTTATAGTTTGATATTTTACCAGAAATGTGTATTATCTTATGCAATTTGACATTAAAAATCTTAATATCTAACTAAAAAATCTTAATTTGTACGTGTAAACAAAAGAACTATCTTAAAAACGAATGCCTATAAGACTGCAATAATTTCCTTTTTTTTCCTGGTAATATCTCTGCAGACCTCATTACATCTTTTACCCAGCCAACATTCCCATGTGTTTAGTTGGCCAACATTGTCACAGAATGAGTTTTGATTTGTAAGGAGCACTGTTTTGTCCAGGAATGGCTATACGTGCTCTTTAATCAAATCTAAACTGGCCCTGTATGTGAACCAATATAGTTGCAACGTGCACCTATACAAGGGTGTTGATTATTAGGACTGTGCATTTTAAAAACAAAATAAGTTTGCATCGACACCATTCTACCCCCTGATGATTATTTAATTAGAGCCTTCTCCACTGGTATCCTGCTGAGCTGCACTGCTTCACTGAGTGAGGTCGGAATAGTGACAACAGCAGATGTTCTTGGATTTTACACCCTAAAAAATACAGAATAGCATTGGAGGAGTTGCTGCTATTTGTTTCAGTGTTTTACATTTAGTAGTAATGACAACATCTCAACAGAGATTTAAAAAGGATTATAAATCAGTTTCCATGGGTGCTGTTCAATGGTACTGACACAGTGTACGTACACAGTGATGTTTAATTTAAAGACAAATTTAAATACATAGGAGAACTTTTAAAAACTATTTTTATTAATTTTTTTTAACAATAAATTAAAAGACCTCCCCCAACAAATAACAGAACCCAAATGTCAAATCACTTTTTTAAAAATCAAAGTCGACCTGCACGGTGCTGCTGTCCTTATGAGGTAAAGTGTGTTGGGGTTCAGTGGGTAGAGGGGATTGTTTTCAACCAATATTAGGGATTATACTTTAGGTTGTGTGCCAATATGTCCTTGGGCGCACATCACATAATACAAAGCCACAGGCCAGAGTCTACAGCCTTCCAGTGCTGGTGCAGAGCCAAAATAATGAAGGGAATTGAGTCAGGTAGGGAATCCAGTGTATAAATCACATATGTGGATTATCCTGTGATGGTCCCACAGCCCACAGTGTTTCTGCTTCAGTGTGCCTATAGTGTAGCGTTGTAGTCATGGAATCTCTGCTTGTTTAAACAGAGGTCATAGGTCATTTAAAAAAAGGGTCATATGTAAAATTTATATTTGGGACTGTCTTTGAGCATTAAAAATGCAACAGAGACTGCACAGAATCAGTGTGTAGACGTGGACACGGGTCTATTTAAGGTGTATACAGTCTGCTGTAGGTAGCTTTGGCTTTGGTTAAAATTAATTTTAGGATGTGTTCTATTTAGGCTGAGGATAATGTCAGGGTTGAGCAATTCCTTATTATAATCAGGGTTAAGGGATATTTTCGATGAAGAGTTCGAACCAGAATAGCCGGTTAGGCCTCTGAACCCAGAGCAGGTTGGATCCTCATGGAGAGCGCCGTAGTCTCTGCTCCAGTGTATCTGCAGGTCTTCACTATAAATAACAAGCCAGTAGCCCTGTCCACTCTCACTCTCCATCTCTCTCACTCACACTTTCTCTATCTCTCACACGCGTGTGCGCGCTCAGACACGCGCATATGTACCACGGGTGGGAGTGGGAGCTCGTGTAGCTGCTGGAAGCCAGCAGGATGGGATAATCACGCGTGCCTGGGTTTCGGGCGTTCGTTGATGCAGCTGCCGTTGCTGTGCCTGACTCGGTTAGGGTGCTAGGGTGGGTCTAGTTCCGAATACCGGAGCAATCTGGACCTCATGTCGATGTTATCAGGTGTACCGAGAAAGGCGAGGGCGACGGCCGTGAGAGGAGTTGCTGCAGCTCTCTGAAACGTCCAGGCGAGAAACCATCGACCGTTTCTGCCGATGGAGGACAGAATTGGCCGGTAGAGCTAAAGCGCAGCGCCGGTGTGGAATAACTTAAGGATACGGAGGCAGCATCTTTTAGTTTTTGGAGGATTGGAAAAAGGGATGCTCGTGTCGTGTCTTATCTTCTTCATGGGTTTCTAACGCGGGATAGATGCTAAAAGGCGCTTGGAGGTACGGATCACTTTTGCATCGGTAATTAGGAGAAGACTGCCTCCTTGGAACCAGCGACAGCCGCATCCGATACAGCGTGGGGTGGGTGGGGGGACCCTTGGATGGAGAGGGCGCAGTAAGGGCTGGCAGTGAACGGCTGGACGAGTGCAAGAGGGCGGACGGGAGAGGTGGGGAGAGACCGGGCAGCGTGAAAGCAAGCACGGGGAGCCAGGAGCGGCCGGGCGGCTCCATGAGCTGCTGCTGCCGGGACAGAGCGCCCAGAGCCCTGCAGCCTTTTACCCACCGCCGCGGGTGAAAAAGATCATTAAAAAAAATAAAACCAAAAACGCACAAACCCGTGCTACAGGACGGCTGCCAGTTTGGAAGCAAGTTTTGATGCATATGATCACAACCACCATGATTTTTATGATTCTTGGTGCTTCAGTTGTAATGGTAAGACATCACATCACCTCCCTCAGCCACACTGTGGTTTTTCCACTTCACTCACTGAGGCCAATATTGAATCAGATTGTTATAAATGTGCCATAAAAATGTGCCAGTGACCACCTCCACCAGCATCAGCAACAGCAGGCCTATCATTGACATGTGGAAGTAGGTTATTCCACCTATCATTACCTGCTGTC